CCGAAGGCAGAGGCTTTAACCCACTGAGCCACCCAGGTGCCCCCCAGAACACTGTTTTAAGCCTTTTCTCCTTAAACGACCAATACTCCTCTCCCACCCTCACTCCCAGCTATGGCCTGACCTCCTGTTTTGCTGAGAAAATAAAATCCACTAGAAGGGACCTGCTCCAAACTCTAACACCACCTCTCCCACCTCCCTGCATCATCACTTTTTTCATTCTTAACTGGCACACAAACATGTTACCTGCTGTAATTGCTCCCACATTAAAACAATACGTCTATCTTGTTCCCTCATATTCCTATAACCACCATTCTCCTATGTCTCCGCTCTCCTTTACAGCTGAACATTTCGAAAGAGTCCTTGCTCAGCACTCACTATTTCCAATTTCTCTTTCCTGACTCTGATCCACATGTAGCCCCCACCACATCTCCATGGAAATTGCTCCGGAAGGCCACCAGTGATCTCCACATTGTTAAACCCAGTGGTCAATTCTTTGTCCTTTTACTAGTTCAGTTGGTAGGATTTGAAGAATTGGCCAATTGCTCCTTCTTGATCCACTTTCTTCACTGTTTCCCTACACCTTGTTGCTCATTCTTACCCAGTCTCATTTTCTGGTTCCTTTTCATGTGTCCTACCTCTAAATGTTGGGCTACCCAGGGCTCAGTTCATGGGTTGTTTTGCTTTTTCTATACCCACTCCGTAGTTGACCTCATCCAGTCTCATGACTTTTAATAACTGCTACTCATTCTCCAGTTATATCTCCAGTCCTGATACTTTCCCTGAACTCCACTCTCCTCTATCCAACTGACTCCATCACTGTCTTCCTCAATTCTGTTAATGTACCTCCATCCTTCCCATTCCTCTGGCTAAAACCCTGAGAGCTGTCCTTGACTCCTGTCTTTGTGCCGTATACCAATCTGTCATTAAAACCTACCCAGAATCTGCCTGCGTCTCAATGCTTCACTGCAGAATCTAGTGTAAACCACCATTATCTCTCACCTGGATTATTTCAAGAGTCCCAAAATAGTCTCCCTGCTTCCACTCTTTTCTCTCTTTAATCTGTTCTCAGGAAGGCGCTCCATTGATCACTTGTATAAGAATAGACATCAGATCATGGTACCCCTCAATGTGTCTCCACATCACTTTATCAGCCAAAGTCCTCGCAATGGGATGCAAGGCCCTGCACGATCTCTCACCACCTTCTGTTGTGGCCTTCTTAACCTCATCCCCACTGTCCTCCTCTCTCAGTCCCTCCACTTCAGCACACCAGCCTCCTGAATGAAACAGTAATACTCTGCACCTCAAGGATCCTTCTGTGTTTCATTCTTCTCCGTAACACTAGTCATTACCCAACATCTTTTATCTTTGATTTTTTTTTTTTTTTGGTCTAAACTTCATGATGGTAGGTGCTTTTGTTTATTTTATTGGCTCCTGTAATCCCAAGTCCTAGAATACTCCCTGGCACATAATAGCACTGAGTAAATTCTTGATGTCTTAGTTTGCTCAGCCTGCCCTGACAAAGTACCACAGACTGGCTTAAGCAACAGCAATTTATTTTCACACAATACTGGAGGCCAGAAGTCTGGAATCAAAGTGTCATCAGAATTGGTTTATCCAGAGGCCCCTCTCCTTGCCTTGTAGATGGCTACCTTCTACCTGTGTCTTCACATGCTTCACGTGCTTTTTCCTGTGTGTCTGTGCCCTATTCTCCTCTTCTCATATGGGCATCAGACAGATTGGAGAGGGGCCCACCTTAATAACCCAATTTTAACTTAATGGCCTTTGTAAAGACCCTGTCTCCAAATACAGTCACATTCTGAAGTAAGGGGGTTAGGACTTCAGCATGTGAATTGGGGAGGCACAATTCAGCCCCTGTACTTGCTTGATTGGTTATTCCATCTGCAAAGATGCACTGAGTCTCCTTGGGGTAAGGATCAGTGTTTAGGCTCAGGGAGAGGTGAGGCTTGGTGAGAATATAAAGGGGTGGGGGGCAGTAGAGTTCATAGAAGGGTTCAATTCTGGGATGGATGAGGGTTGGATAGGGAATGAGGTGCCAAGAATGAATGACCCTGGAAGAGAGTACTTGTCTCAGCCAATGGATGAGACATAAGGATGCGGTTGGGGAGAGGCCATGTGGCAGAAGATGATGGAATCAGTGCAGTTGAGAGGTGAGGAAAGGAAGGATTGGCCAAGGCTTGCAGAGGGGAGGGGAGGAAATCAAAAGAGCAGTGGGGTGGTTGAGACGCTGGAATAGGATTGAGAACGTTGAGAATACGTGAGATTGCCTGCATACTTTGTGGGTCTTGGTGCAAAATGAAAATACAGGTCTCTTGTTCAAAAAGTATTAAGAATTAATAATTTCAAGATGGAGATAGCAGAGCCTTAAACCAAGTGCAGAGAACACACTCATAAAGCTGGTCCTGCCTGATGGGGTATGGATCAGGAACAGAGATAGGTTAGAAGATAGGACAAGGTAGGGTAAAAAAAAGGTCTTTTCTCTTGCAACGCATGGGGAATTTTTATTAAAATATGGTCTGCCTTTTGCCATCTTTTATTGTTATTAACAACTGTACTGTACACTCTTTTGGAGGTGGGTCCTCCCACAATCCTTAGTGCCCTACATACGTGATTTTGATGTGGGCCAGGTGTGTTTGTTGACATAGCAAACACCTCTTGGTAGCAAGAAAGAGAAGGGTGCACGTTGCGTGTGATGGAGATGGAAGAGAGTGAAGTCTCACAGGGAGACCAGAGCATCTCTCTAGGATTTAGATAATGAGGGTCTGGACTGCACCATTAGTGGGGGAGGTGTAATTTGGTTGGAAAATAAAGTCCTTGAGAGCACCAACCTGCCAGGTGCCTAGCCAAGGTGGATAAGCCAGTGGCTAAGCCTTTCCTATCCTGGCACAGACCAGGGGCTGTTCAGATCAAGATCTCAAGGCAGTTGTTGGGGAAAGGGAGGCCTTCAGTCCCCCGAAGCTGGTCCCTGGAAGTGTGGGAACCCTCCTAAGGGGAATTAGAAAAACTTCTGAGGAAGCCAAGGCCTGGAGGAAGCCGAGACTTGGGATCCCCATGGGGAGGAAACAGTGCCTAGAGCTTCTGGTGTATTGGGGACAACATCCTGGTGGTAAGTTGAAGACAGACCTTTACTCCAGCTCCTTACCTCAGCTCTGTGAGCATGAGGTGGGGGTGCCATGGATGAGACTCTGTTGGATGCAAGGGACACTATTATACTCATCATTCTCCTTGGACAGATGAGGAAATTGAGATGAGATGCGGAGAGGTTAAATCACTTGCTCAGGATCACAACTGCTGTGTGGTCTTGTCAGGAGCTGAAGTAGGCAGAGGGGCTGCTCTTCACCCTTCCCACCCTTGGCATCTGCAGACAGAGTGCTGAGAACGGAACAGTCAGCGTGGGCTGGGGCGGGGAATCCTGCAAGACCTGGGGACAGATGTCATCTGAGCTATGTGGGAAGAATGAATGCGAGTGCACAGAGGCTGATAGTGGGAGGAAAGGCATTCGGGGCAGGGAGGGAACTAGAAGCTGAGGTGGGGGTGCTGCCAGGAGTGCGAAAGCCACAGACCCGGGCCTCGCACACTGCAAGTTGCGTGAAGTTGCCTGTGGACACGGTTAAGATCCGGATGGGAACTTGGTGGTGGACTAGGAGACCCAGGAAGTAAGTTTCTGAAGAGACCCAAACTACCAACCAGGGCCCACGCTTTCTCCCCCTGAACTGAGAGGGGCTCTAAAGCATACACAGCTTTTTGGGCCCCAAAGGACCCCCATTCTTAATTCCGTGGATCTTGATTTCTTTCTGTGAAAGCCTCAGAGAAGACTTTGAGAACAGGCAGCAGGGGTGGAGGGCAAAGCCCCGGGTGAGGGGGGAGGGGGAGGAGAAAGAAGGGGCAGAGGGGCTGCTCTGCTCTGGGAACTGGACTGGAAGAGGCCCAAGGCGGTGGAGGCCTTTCCCCTTATTTTCCACGACTCTGGCAGCAGGGCAGTTGGTATTTCTTTGCCCGGAATGGGGGTGGGGGTAGTTCTGGGTGTGCCTTCTCAGGATCATTCTGCTCCAAACATCAAAATGGGAAAAGGGGTGGGAAAGGCACCCACTTCAGTTGCAAGGTGGGCTCCAGAGGTTCAGGGAACAAAAAGAACCCCGAAAACCCAGTAGGATGCACTCAACTCCTCTTTGGAACATTTGGCAGACCCAGATCCTGAGCTCCCCCAGAACGGCCCTGCCTTCCCTTAGCAGTCCAACTGGTCGCGTGGTTCTGCTTGGACTAGTGTCATCTACCAGCGTCTGGTTCTGTCATGCCGAACTTCCCACAGCGCTGCTTCCCGAGCCCCCTCCCCGCCACACCCCCCCACCCCCGCGCTCCCCTTCCTCTCCCCTTTCTGAGCCTTAAGAGTTTCCCAAGCCCATTTCCTCCGTTATTTCTCTGCAGCCCCGCGAAGGAGGCAGGATTCTCCCCATTTGCCAGATTTGACAGGCGAGAAGCCTGCCGTCCTGGGGCAGGGTTGGGGGAAGGTAAGTGAAGAAGCCAAGGTCACCCAGTCATTGGCGGAACGCAACTTCAATCCAGCCCTTCTGCGGGCCCGCTGGAGCCCGGCTAGGTGGGCTCAGGCTACTGGCCCGAGCCCCTTCTTTTCTCGGCTGGCACTCGGGGGCGGGCTGGCCACAATGACAGGTGAGCCTGGGTCGGGGACAGTAGGGGGTGGGGGAGCGGGTGCGCTGCGCGGGGCCCCTGGCGCATGGGCCTTGGGCGCGGCCGCCCCAGCCCGCCTTGGCGCCCAGGCTTCCGAGGGCTGGTGCCCGGAGGCACGACAGTGCCCGCGCCTTTGGCCAGGGGTCCTTGGCGCGCCCCTGGCCCGCCGGCCAGGCCCCGCCCCCTGGCAGCACGGGCGGGGGCAGGGGCGGCGCCGGCGGAGTGGGGCGCGGGCGCGCTGTGCTCGGTGCGCGCCACCGCCCCTCCGGCCCAGCTTGCCGGCCTGCCCTCCCTCTCCCTCGGCCCGCTCTTCTCGCCCCCAGCCCTCTCTTGCCCTCTGCCCCGCGGGCCGGCGCGCGGTGCGGCACGACGATCGCGGCCTGGCGATCAGGGCACGGTGGTCGTGGCGCTCGAGGGTGGCGCGCAAGGCGCGGAGCGCGAGGCCAGACCGGGCACAGCGGGGAGAGGGGGGCAGGCAGCGGCGGAGTCCCCAGAGGAGAGCAGGGGCAGGGGGGTGCAGAGGTAACGGGCAGGGCCTGGGCGCCCGGCTGCGAGGGGCGGGAGCTCCAGGCGCACCTCGGCCCTGGCCTTGGGCGGGCCGGCTACGGGGGCCCCGGGGCGGCGGGAAGGCGGCGGGCCGGGAGCGAGGGAGGGAGGAGAAGGCTGGGCTGGGCGGGGGGCTTGGCAGAAGGGGAGCAGGTGGGCGGGGACAGGGGCCCTGCTGGAAGAGGCGCCGCAGCGAGGTGGCGGGCTGCGTGCGCAATCAGGGCGGCCGCCTCCTGGGCCCAGAGAACGGTGAGGCCGTTTGGGTTGGGCGCCCCAGCCCCGAGGGCATGGGTCGGTGTCCAGGGCCACTGAGCTGGGCGTGAGGCACTATTGGGGCTGGGCTCGGCTGGGCCAATGCGTTGGGGGTCTTGAGCAGACCCAGGAGAAGAGTGTGGCTGGGCCAGAAGCTGGAGTTCCTGGGCAGGGCGCAGCTGGCGGGCGACGGTGGGCAAGGACGGGCACTTTAAGGGTTGGCATGAGTGGAAGGGGACAAGGAGGGCCCAGAGTTTGAGCTGGAGCATAATTTGGGAGTTCCATGTCACTGGGTAGGTTGATGAGTCATGAGCTTTGGCGATCACAGAAGCCTTTCCTGGTGACCAGTTCTGAGTGAGGGGAATGGAAAGGGCTAGGATTTGGAGGAGTGGTTTGGAGGCCACGTCTTGGGACACCCGGTGCTCTGATGGCCTCCTGTGCCCATGCGAGGGGCTTTGGGAGCAATGTTTCAGAGGGCTGTGATTTGGAAGCTTCAGCCTAGGCTGGGGTTAAGGAAGGTCTTTGTGGTGGCCCGTTCCTGCCTTCCTTCCTTTCCAGGCCTTCAGGATTCAGCTGTGTTCCTGGGGGGAGTGGGTTAAAAATTCCTTGGCCTACAGTCAGCCTTACAGTATCCACCAGGGGTAGGAGGGACACGTACATGCGTGACTGCAGCAGCATTCTCTGTCCTGAAGCCCTCACGCTTCCTCACTGTTGCCATAGCAACGCCCTATTGATGGTGTATTTATAGGGAAAGAAGCAGGCGCTAAATTTTGGGGAAGGTGGGGGAGGCGGCCTCATAGCAGCAGCAGCAGCTACAGAATTATTAATGGAGTAGGCCCTGTGAGCTGTTTGGGGGTAGTTCCTGGCTTGTCTGAGGCTTAAAAATGAGCTAGTAACTTTGGCAGGTGTCAGGAGAGCACGTGTTCATGGCTCTGATCTGTGTGGATGTGTATGCACCAAAGTCGGGTGTGTTGGGGGCAAGAGGGGGCTATATGTAAGCTGCTATGTAATTTCTCTACATAAAAACGAACAAAACACGGCAGTTCTCTGTGATAGGCAATGAAGTGTGCGTTTTCCTATCTTCATTTATTAGTACAGCTTTTACTCAATCTTTTCAAACCCTGAAACACCCCGTGACTGGCGTTGCCCCTCCCCTCCACAACCCCAGAGATCAGTAATGAAGCAGAATTTTGAGATTAAATAGTCCGTCTTCACTCTTAAAACATCGAGGGCCAACTTCTCTTACAATGGTAGACCGCTCTGTTGACAGATACCCTCAGATAGTTTTGGGTGGGATCATTGTGGGGTTCAAAAGAGAAAATCCCCCTTGACACAGTGTTTCCATAGACGGATGTGAGATTGGCTGTTTTTCCTTTAGCTTTAATTTTATGTATGATTTGTAGCCTACCTGTTTGCCGGAAGGATCAGAAGGTATATTTGAAGCATACATGAGGCTCTGAACGCAGAAATAGAAAAGCGTGTACCACGCTGCAAGGGAAAAGCATATGTGCTAGAGGGTCAATGTCAACACTGAACTTCCTGGCAGCCTAGGCAAAAAGGGCGGCACAATGCCATTCACGCGTTTGCATCCAGTTAGTCACAAAACCAGAGCTTTTTCTTGGGGAGGAGAGCAGCAAGGTGACTGGAATCTGTGTGTGAGTGGGGGCGTGTGGTGAGGAGAGCCCTGTGCTGTGGTCACAGCTTCCGTAGTGGCAGGATGATTCCTGAGCAGGAGCAAGGCTTTTGGACTGTAGCTCACATTAGAGACAACACTTGCATTGAGTTAGCATCTCAGTTTCCGGAGATCCCCAGTACCCTGTCGGGTACAGACAGACACGGCGGGTCACCCGCCGTTGTCGCGTTAAGCTTTGCCAGGACCTGCTTCTCCAACATGTGCTGCCCGTTTTCAGGGAACATGCTTGTCATTAGAGGTATCTGGGGTTTGCAATTGTGAGAAAGATGAGTTCCAAAAATTGGCTTCTGTCTTTGTCATGGCTGATGTGCTTGATCTCACGTAATTCTACGTCTCTCTGAGTTCCTTTCCGACTCAACAGCGCAAAGAGTTTTTGAGGGAAGTGAGGAATGAGAAACCTTGGCCTGTAGGAGGGTTGTTGTTTTTTTTTTTTTTCCCAAAGAATAAAGTCAACCCTTAGGTCTTCTACAGTCTCTGAATCTGTTCATGGGGCAAAGAGCTGGCAGGTTAGCTTTGGGCTCTGCTGGACCTTAGGGAGCTCTGGGAAGAGAGCTCGGGCAACAATGGGAAGCTGTGAGTGGCACAGGGGGTGAGGTGCCTCATTGACCTTTGACCAGTGGGGGTGGGAGTCACATCCCAGGGCCAAGAGGGTGCCCTGTAGGCTTTGGGGTGTGGTTTCATTGTGACTCTGCTTCTCTCCTTTGCCAGGCAAGTGAGACGCTGGACCTGAGGGAGCAGCAATGGCAGGTGAGTTTGCCAGGCCCCAGACCAAAGGGTGAGGGGCCAGGCCCACCGGCTCACAGAAAAGGTGCATGCTCGCTTTTCAAGTCCTTTCCAGGTTGCCTGTCCCCAGGTTGTCCCTGGAGATGTACGCCTTCCCGGGCACTATGCACTATGAGAGGAGCTAATATGACAGGCTGTGGGGAAGGGCGCCTGCTTTTTGGTGGAGCCCTGCCTGCCTGGGCCCTACGAGGGGCTGTTGACAGGAAAACTAGCTCAGGCTTGCAGAGACATACAGCTGGTACGATGCTGGGCAGCTCGACAGCAGCGGGGTTCTCCCTTTGGAATAAGTCGATATGGCCGGCACTCAGGGACATTTTGGCAGGAAGCATCTGTGTCCACTCTACAGAAGCTTCGATTCTTTGCGTAGATCCTGCTACCCCATTCCCAGAGGCACTCTCGGATTTGAATGCACCGAGGGCTCTGTCTAGTACTAGGTTGTCTGGGGCTGGGCTAGTGATGACGACACAGGAGGCCATTCAGGTGGTGGGATGCCACCCGGTAGAGTCGAATGGGGTGATTTGGTATTAGTCGCAGCAACATGCCCTTCCCTCTCAGTCAGATCCCATTTTCCTCCGAAACACCCGAGGCCCGAGTCTTGTCAGGTCTGCGGTATTCTAAGCAGGTATGTTGTGTCATCAGAGAAAGTCAGCCCTTTTGTCCCTTTTACGAAGGCCTCCCCGTATCTGGGGTGGTGTCCTGCCTGCCGGCTTTGTCTTGCTTCCCTTCCTCATTGTGCTCCTGTTTCTGGGCTGAGTCTGGTTTGAAGGAGCCCCTGGGCACCTGCCCATTCCAGGCTTCAGTGCAGCTCTCTCCTCAGTGTTTCTGGAGGCCAAGAATGCCCATTCGGTCCTGAAACGGTTCCCTCGTGCCAATGAATTCCTGGAGGAGTTGCGCCAGGGCACCATCGAGCGCGAGTGCATGGAGGAGGTCTGCAGCTACGAAGAAGTCAAGGAGGTGTTCGAGGACAAAGAGAAAACGGCATGTGCTGCCCCGGGGCTGGCTTCTGGGAGCAGTGGGAGCCTCAGGAATGACAGGAGCAGGCCCTGGTATCTCAGGCCAGTCAGAAGCAACAAAGGAAAGGCAGCCCACTCTCAGGCCGTAGGAGGACAGACAACATGTCCTTAGAGTCCCAGCTGCATGATTCTGGGGGCGTCTTCACTTGGGAGCATTTCCCCATAGGCTCTTGGATGGCTCCACGAGGCCAGTCAGGTGGGGCAGGGTGGAGAGCGGCCACAGGCCCTGCCTAACATGCCAGACAAGCCGCAGGTCTCTGAGGTTCAGCTGGGACATGAGGTCTTGCATGCAAGTGTAAGCAGCCCTTCTTCTTTTGTAGATGGAGTTCTGGAAGGGGTACCCGAATGCAGTCTACTCAGTCCGCGACCCTGCACAGAGTTCAGATGCCATGTACGTGGTGGTGCCCCTTCTAGGGGTGGCATTGCTGATTGTCATTGCCTTGTTCATCATCTGGAGATGCCAGCTGCAGAAAGCCACTCGTCATCACCCCTCGTATGCTCAGAACCGGTACCTAGCCAGTCGCGCCGGGCACAGCCTCCCCCGGGTCATGGTGTACCGGGGCACTGTGCATAGCCAGGGGGAGTCTTCTGGGCACCGTGAGACAGGGAGCAACCCGCAGGTGGTGCTGGGTCCCAGTCGAGGGGGCAGAACGATGGTCCGTCTTGAGAGCACCCTCTACCTTCCTGAGCTCTCTCTCTCCAGGCTGTCCAGTGCCACTCCTCCCCCATCCTATGAGGAGGTGACTGCACCCCAGGAGAGCAGCAGTGAGGAGGCGAGTGTCTCTTATAGTGACCCACCCCCAAAGTATGAGGAGATAGTGGCCACCAACCCTGGCTCGGACAAGTAGTAGGACTTCTGTCCTGTCCGGATTGAAAGCCTCCTTCAGGGGTCTCCTATTTTTTTTTTTTAACTTTTTAAAGACTGTGCCAACACAAAACAGCCTTAGCCTCCTGTTGCCAAATAATTTCCTAACCCTGGATTTGTAGGAAGTCGGTTGTCAGAGACAGGTGGGGGGGTAGGGAACATGCATGTGTCAAAGCCCCTGGGGAGAGCCACAGGCTAGAGAGCCCAGCTCTTCCAGAAGCCCCCATGCTCCCACCATCCTGTCCTCCCATCAGGAACTGGCTTCTCTTATGCCAAAGGTATTACCCCACTGAGCTGATTGTGGCCAGAATGTCTGTAGGCTCAGGCCCCAGGGCCACATGGCTGGCTGGAGACCTGTCTCTGTCTGAAAGCCTAGGCCACAGAGATGAGAGAGAGAAGCTAGCCCTTCAGCTACCCCTTTTCCTCAACTGCCCTGTGCTTTCTGTCCTTACTTACATTTTGAGGACAGGGACAAAGACTGAACAAAAACAACAAAAAAGAGTAATAACAAATAAATAAACGACCAACCCGATAAAACAAAACAATATAACCTGGGCCATTCATAGGGGACTGAGGGAAATCAGATCAACATCCAACCCCACACTCCTGACCAGACTAATAGGAATATTTAGAGCAAGCGGGAAGGAAGACAGGATACGTGAAAGATGAGGGACAAGGGCCTAGCTGCCAGACTGAGTGAGAGGCCTGTGTGAACTTGGCCATCCTGGAGGCTAACTCTGGTTCTAGTGTGCTTGGCCTTCTGAAGACCTTGCCTTTCCAGACATGTGTACTGGCTGTGCTAAAACTGCTACCCACTGGCCTGAGCCCAGTCATCGCCCTGCGGCCAAGAGCTGAAGTTTTCTCCTACTGAGGCTGATTGGCCAATAGAATGACTTGAACTCATGAACTTGGCCTCGTCAGCACTGTGCTTTCTGGCTTTGAACTTTTAGGACACGTCCCTGTTCATGAGCAGGTGCATTGAGTTGAACTTGAACTTCAGATGACTGATTTCTCCTTAATGATGGTGGCCACCTGGGGAAAAGATCCTAAAATGTACCTTTTTAAAGATTTCCTGGCAGGGGAGGTGGGGAAGCCTGTGACATGGGGTCAAAGGTCCATTTAGGGTTTGCTGTGTTATTGCCAGGTGCTGGTCCATCTTTAGTAACCTCTTTCTGTGGCCCAGAAGCTGTCCACCTCTGCATTTCAGTGAGGCTTTGGACAGCAGTGGGGCAGAAGTGACCTGCCCTTTAACTGACCATGACCATGTAAAAGACTCTCGACACCGCATCCCCTCACCCCTACATGTCCATCCTCCCGGCCTCAGTGCCAAATTACTTTTCCTCTGTGGTGCTTTTAAAAATGTAGCAAATTTTTGTGGGGTCCAAAAGAGTGCACAGCCAGGGTCTATCGGCAACCGCAACAGTTTAAAACCCACTGAGAAGACAAGCTTCTTTCTGTCCAAACAGCTCTCCAGGACAGGCATCGGGCCTCATTCTTGGACTGCAGTCCTGCCTCAAGGCCCCATATGACTTCTGGAGGCCTCTCCCATCCTGAGGACTTGCTTGGGACATGTTTCAAGTTTAGGAAACTTGTGTTCTTATCCCAACGAGGCCACCAGCTTTGCCAACTTGACCTGGCAGTTGGGAGTTTCCATCCTTCCCCCTACCTCCCAGCCCTGCGCAGTTCTTGAAGCACCAGGGAGCTAGTGCAGTTTGTCCTTAGGAAGATTCTTCTAGAAATGTGTAGCTTATAGGAGACCGGTCTTAGTGGAGGCCCTCATGTGACTCTGATGGTGAGTCTCAACTCGGGGAACCGGTCTCCTGTCAGCTGACACTTTCTGCCCCCTCCTCCTTCCCCGAGAGCTCCCTGATGCTAGAGGTGCTGCCCAGGTACGTTCCACCTTTCCTTCCTTTCCCTTTCTCCCTGGGCCTCTAACACTACACTCCTGCCCTTCCTCACAAAGTTATTTTTGGCCTAGAAAGGCCTTGCTTTTTCCACAACAGAGGCTGCAGTCACTCCTGTTTGGCCACGTTGGAGGACCTGGGGCAGCCGGAAGCTCTGGGGCCAGCCCCGCCCTCCCAGCATTTCCTCAGGCAGGTGCCTGTGTGTGACCTGGGAGCGTGGGAGAAGAGAGCCAGGCATGGGCCCCGGTGACCAGAGCCAAAGGGAGTATGCCAAGGAATGCCCGCTGCCTTTGGCATCTGCTGAGCCCTTCCCTGAAAAGCTGGGTGGGGATGGGAGGCGGTGGGAAGCAGGAGCCTGGCCTGGTGGAGGACAGCACGTGTTCCGTCCTTCAGGCACTGAGCAAGGGCTTGCAGGGAGAGCGCACAGGCAGCTCTTAGGAGCCTTGTTCTGTTAAGTTGCTTTGCAGGCTTCTCCCAGGTGGGCTTGCCACTGTGGTCTCTGGGATGTTTTTGCAGTATATTGTTGAAACTAAGACTGTACAGTACACAACGGTCATAACTGCTCGCGGTGCACATTTGGTTTTTATGAATGCTCTGTATATATCTTTTCAGACTCTGTCTTTGTATGGTCATTGGTTTGATACGATGCTAAATCTGTAGTAGCCACTTTTTGTTGTTTTTGGACTTTGTGTGTATGTGTGTGTGTGTGTGTGTATGCACATGTGCGTGCCTGCGTGCATGCGTGCCTGTACACGTGTGCACATTGCCTTTTCTCATATGCTTATCTGAAACCGTAGCCAGTATGTGGCTATATTTGTACCAGGAGAATTCTGGTCTGAAGGGAGGAATGTCACTCCTGGGGCTGGACAGCCTTTTCACAGGGCCCTGAGGGAGGAAAGCTGAGATTAACCGTCCAAGCCCCGCGAAGTCACCGCCTTCTGCCCCAACTTCACAAAAAGTTTTGGGAGAAGACTAGACAGCTCCACCCTGCGGGCCTCCGCTCTGTGGGACCCCCCACTCACGCGCCCTTTTAGCTTGGTGTCCCCCGCCTCTGTTTCTGTTCTGTGGGTAACAACAGCTGAAGGAGATCTGAGCACTCCTGGGCCTTTTTACTTTACTTTTTATTTTTTGGTGGAAAAATGTGTGACTATTGACTTTGGGACTGGTGGGGCTGGTTATTCAGATATTTTTCATTAAGAAAAAAGAGAAAAGGCTTTAAAAAACTTTTTATTAAGACTTTTAAAAACAAGAATCGCAAACCTGTCCTTACACGCCACTCCCCATTGCCTAGGGTTTTCAAGACGAAAGCACAAGAGAAAGGGTGAGGCACGCAGGTGCCTCCTCTTCAGCTTGCGAATCCCACTGCCATTAGTGTGAATTCCTTAGGGTGCTTGGGAAAACAGGAATCTGCCCGGTGGGTTGGATGTGGCCTTTCTGGTGGCCTGAATATGAGGAATTTGGGACAGGAAAGTCTTTTTGTTAAGGAGTTGGAGCCAGATGGTTCCTCTCTGGCTGAGGATTGATCTTTTGACAACCAAATGGTATCCCATGAGAAGAAGGAAAAAACAACACTGCCTCTAGATTGTTCTTTTGTCTGGGGTGGGGGAAGGTGGGGGGCGGGGCTCCTATTCACCTACACTCTGTGCTTCTAGGAGTGTGACTGTGTGCTATGTCTTGCATGTGCTCTCCTGTTCAAGGCCGACATGGAGAGCGGGGCAGCAAAGCTTTTCAGCTTGACAAGTAATGAAGCTCCATTTCAGGATTGTGCCTATTCAGAAACAAGCACATCCTCCCCACTGAACTCTGCTCATACTAATCAGTATAATTAGCTAATTTCGAAGTACTGTAATCAGACTGCCTGCAACTATGGTAAAAGCCTATTAATTTGAAGCCCACTGATTCAGAACTTATAGAAAATCACAACTTAAGATAATTCATGGTATCTGCCATTCTTGCTCTGTAGAAAAATTTGAAATAGTTCGCTTTAGTCAATTTTCAGAGTCTTATGTGTAAGAGGGATCTAGTTAAAATGAGCACCTTTTTCAAATAAAAGGCTCACGATATCAGGGATCCCTTCACCGTGCCTTCAGCTTTGGGGTTCAGCAATTCTCGTGTGTAAGGCTCTTTCTGTGTAAGATGGTTTCTTGGTCTCTCTCCATTGTGAGAAGGGTGAGTGTTGCCGCTTGTCATTCTCTTAGCCTGTAATTTAAAGTAACGTAACTGTGTATCTTGCTAAATATTCTGTAAGGCAGATGTTTTGCTATCACACTGGCACTCCCATCATTTGCACCTAAATATTAAACGTAGGGAGCTTTTCCTTTCACAGGCTGTGGGCAGTGAGTCTCTCTCCAGCAAGAATTTCTCCGACAAGGATATCCAAATAGCACACCCCCTCGGGCTCATTGCCTCAACAGTTGTTCCACTGCCCTGAGACATCTGACCGTTGAACAGTGCCTGCCCTTCCCCCGCCCCCAGCCTGAGCATTAACAGAGATATTCAAGATTGGAAAAAATCCCACAGCTGCTTTTGTCTCCCGATCTGTCCCCCCTTCCGGATGCCACTTTCCCAGGCCTGAACACACCTGCTATTTCACTCTGTGATTGTGAATTTGTGACAGCGGAAATCCTGATATGTGCAACTGAGTTTATAGACATGATTACTGTGAAATGGATTCATTTTTGTACCACTTTAAACTGTGCTTGTATCCATGCGTTGACCCATGTCAGCTGGGAGATCTGTACATTCAGTAGTATGTTGGAATTTCGCTGGAGCCTGGGAGCAACCAATAAACTTGCTTCTGATTCTCTCTCTCTCTCTCTTTTTATAATTGTTGTGTTTAGCTGTTAAATTTCATCTCTTTCTGTACCAGAAGATAATTAATAATAATAAAGAGCACATGGTATTCACTTGTGTCCTCTCCTCATCAATCTTGGATTCTTGCCGACTCCCAAACTTTCACGGGGGAATGGATCATTGTGGGCCAAACTTGTTTCTCCCAAAAGTCTGACTGTAGATAAGGAAACAGCCCAAACCAGTTTAGAAGCAGGAAGTAGAGATGTCATTGGTCCTAAAGATTGTCCTCATGTGTGTAAGATGATCTCCTGACCCATCCCCCAGGGATGCGGTTAGTAAAGTCTGTCACAAATCAAGTTAGCAACTTCCCTGTCACCTGATCCCTGGTTACTAACAGAGTTGCCTCTTGCTAAAAGGATGCCTTACTTGGTTTCAGACTTGGGGAGGGGTGGGAGGGAGAAATTTTTCTGTGCCCTGTGGAGGTAGAATTTAAAACTCAGGTTTTGCCCTTGACGCTGTTTCCTCAATTCAGATGATGGCAAAAGTCAGAGAGCATTCAGAGGGCAGGATGCCCTAGCTTTCCCTTCGTGGAAGTGTAATCTTAGCCCCAAACACTCCCAGCTGTTGATGTGGGGTGAGATATGGCTGTGGGACATTGCCAGTATAAGTTGGGCCAATCCCCATTTATGAAAATAATCCACACTTTAATAGGAAAAGCCATGGCAGTGATGAGAAAATGACAATGAAACTTAGGGCCTCCTTCAAGGATTGAATGTGGAGGCTAAATGCCGGAACTGACAGCCAGGGGCCTTGGGTTCCATTCTTATCAGGGACTGGCTTGTTGAGTGATGCCAGCCTTCCGGGGATGTGGAGAAGTCAAATG